ACTGTTTTATGATATTAACCTAATATGCAAATATATTTATTTTATTGCTACACTACGTTGGTTTTAAGGTTCTGTAGGTTATCTTTTTAGTATCAATACAATGTAGCAGTGGTAGGCTATTCTATGTCCATAAGAATAACATGGGAATTTTAAATTTAGATATTTCTTATTAATTTTTATTCATAACCATTAGACGCAACCCCCCCATAAACCCCTGTTCCCATAGTCCGATCATGCTGGTTCGGAAACTCGTTTGGATAAATGTAGGTTTTACACGTTAATATCAAATTTAATCAAAATCGGATCATTTCTGTTCAAGTTAATGTGCTAATGGACCCACATATACAGTATATATATTTATATATAAGTTATCTATGAAATTGAACGGATGGTGTTTTTGGCCTCTAAGGACCTCAAAACGAAAAAGTAAATCGGTCCCGGGTCCAGGTCTTACTATGAGTACTACGTTAATACCTCATTCCCTATATGGGAAATTCGCTAAAAGGGGGCAATTAGCAGAACAGCGATTACTCCATTGAGTTTCTTACTCCAAAATAGAAGGTCCCTATACATATTTTGGGAATTTTTATATTTTATAATCGTTCCATGGACCTGTTAACTTACACCTACCTACCACAGTCTGAAAACAATTGAGTAAAGTTAGTTGCTTTCAAGGAAGGACCCTTTTTCAGTGAACCCTTAATAATCTGGACCCCATTAAGGTATTTCTGAACTATTCAGACTTTTCTTCTAAACCTTCATAAATTATTCTTACGATCCTAATATACGATAAAATACCTTTAAAACATATTTTTAAGGTGCGGAAACCACCGAAAATTGCAGATATATACGGAACCACTTTTTTAAGGAGCACATTGCACAATGTTCGTTGGAGCACATTGCACACCAAGGAACAAGAAGTTATACGCTTCTAACTTACTTCAGTTGAAACTGAAACAAAACAATGAATGATATTTTTTAGGCATGTGGGGAAGCCAGGTCGGGGTTTATATGGGTTCATGGCTGCATTACCGGTAAGTGTTTTAAAGTTAGGTTAGATTAAGAAGGTGAAGTGTAGGTTATAGGCGATCGGGTTGTTTATTGATACACCCATATTGTTTTTTATCTTTTGGAATAAATGATTAAACGACGAGACAATTTAAAAAATGCACACTATAACTTACTTAATCCAACCTACCTTTAAAGGACTTAATGTAGTCACGAATCCTCATAAAGCCTGGCCTGGATTCGCAATATACCCTTTTCTCTTATGAAACCGATTCATAAAATCATACAGCAAGTTTGGTTAGGTTTTGTTGGTTTAGAACAGTTTTATTAAAAAAAAAATCAAAACATTAACATAAACAATCATAATAAATTAATGATCAGCTGGTAACACTGACCATTCTAGGATCCCAAGCAAGAGTAAGTAGTCACTGGTCCGTATGACTCCGCTACTTGTTCCTTGGCGTGCGATTTTTTCCGTGCCTTGAGAAAGTAGTTTTGTATATTTTCACAATTTGCAAAGGTTTCTGCGCCTTAAAAAATGATTTAAAGGTATTTTGTTTATTAAAATTGTAGATTTATCCCCATTAATTTAGACTTCAAATTGGACAACCATTTGACAGCAGTTTATCAAAATTGTAAGAGGGTTGGCTGTAAATTAAGGTCTCCATTGAGCTAGCTCAAATCCGAGACAAGGGTTGTGTTCCTTACTTCATCCACTACTATTCTACTTTTCACCTCTCTGCAATGATTTAGTCTTTTCATAGTGCTGTAAGTTACTTCCTTTATTAAAAAACGATGCAAAAGAAAATTGACGCTCTGGCCAAGTAGCCTATGAATTGTGTTTTGTGATAAGGTTTCAGTAGGAAGGAGGCTTATAGCTGTTGATTACTGTTGCCAGTTGACAAAAGTTTATGCATAAAAATGTTTCTACGGAGAAAATGTACATTAGTGTCATATGTTTGCGGCGGTCCATTGGAAAACGGAACCAGCAGTGGGCGTTCATAAGTTTTTCATTGACACAATAATTAAATATAAGAAAACATCGCTAACTAATCGGCGTGTTTATGGCGTAGCGGATTTTTATCCCCCTGGGCAAACGTGACGTCACAAACATGCGGGGGTATAATTCCGGCCGCGAACTTTTGAGTTTCGCGACATCAGCTCGATGGATTAAACTGTAGCTTTTTATAATTCGATGTATTAAACGCGGAATTAAACATATATTTTCACAGTTGTGAATTTAATCAGAACACATCAAATTATAAAAACCTAGAGTGTACGGCCCAGATTTTTACCCCCGGAATTTTACCCCCTGGATTTTAACCCCCGGAATTTTACCCCCTGGCCAGATATATAAATTAGTGAGAATGATTAATTATCTTCATTCTGTTTTAATTTAATAGTAAACATTTTATTATTAAGTAGCCTATATTAATTTATTTGTAACATTAACTAACCGAACAGGTTTTTAATTTTAATTTTGAGATTCTAGTATTAGGATTCGATCTTTGAAGCTAACAGTTGGTTAATATGACGTATAAAAAATCAACTGAATGATAATTGTTTCGAACATTTCTTTACAAAATAAATAAATAAAGATAGGCTACTAAATAATGAAATGTTTACAATTAATTAAAAACAGAAATAAGAAAATCAAACATTCAATTTCTAAAATGGGCCAGGTGGTAAAATTCCGGGGGTAAAAATCCGGCCCGTACATCTTCAGTTGTCTAAACGCTAGTTATATGGACAGGGGGTAAAATTCCGGTTTTTATTGCTAATCTAATTAATCACGCTCTGTCTATTTTCATTAGACTTCCAAATCTGCGGGGGTAAAATTCCGGCTGCGAACAAACTTTTGGCCACTCAGGCTACTACGTCATAGTGACGTCAGCTTTGCCCAGGGGGTAAAATTCCAGGGGGATAAAATTCCGGCGACCCGTGTTTATCACCTGCAGGGCTGACCGTAGTCCTTCATATCATTATTGAGATGTCCCTTATAAATTTGATATTCTCTTTCTTTCTTTCATCCAGTCACACCCCAATCCACATTCAAAATTTCCCTAACTTTGGCAACTATACGGAACAGCAGTTGGCCTACTCCATGGAAAACATTGAGCAAATGTTCAAGGCTGCCTCCGAACTTCCATCACTCATTGTGCACATTTTCTACCTGCTAACACCTTAATTCATTTGCATCTGTCAACTTGCAATACTTCCATAGCGGTTGACAACTCAGACCAAAGAAATCTCACCACAGAAATTTATACTTGGAGCTTCAACTTCCCTTCAAAACATTTTTGAAACCATAAGGAAACTATTCATCTTTTAGGGGTGGGAACCAGGTCGAATAGTAGTGAATGAAGTAAGAAACAGGACATTGGTCTCAGATTTGAACCAGCTGGCTCAGAGTTCTATGGAGATCTTAATTTACTGACAACCCTCGTTTATTAAGCTAGGAATGCGACACTGCAAACTACACAGTGCTTGTGGGTAGCATTCTGGTTAGGGCTGGTTACCCACTGGTGTCGTGGACATCGTTTCTACAAAATATCGTTTGTTTACCATATAAAACCAACACATGTTATCAGAACAGAGCTTACACACTGCTGGCGACTTATGACCGAGACATCATCTGTGTTAGTGTGGAGACTGGTTGGCTGGTGTTGTTGATGGCCCCTGGATTACTTTATATGACTATAATAATGGTACAATACCTCGTCAAGTAGTCCAAATGATGATTGAGGTTAGAAACCTACATGTTTCGCCGTAAATACGGCATCGTCAGGGTTACAAAAACGAAGACATCGATGTCACACGCACACAATAAATACACGGATACGAACATTTAATTACGGAAAGACAAAATAAACATTTAATTGACATTGATAGGCCTATCACACGCACACGACACGGACGGTCCCGGCGCAGGTAGTAGACTCCTAGGCTACTAGAGTCTACTACCTGCGCCGGGACCGTCCGTGTCGTGTGCGTGTGATAGGCCTATCAATGTCAATTAAATGTTTATTTTGTCTTTCCGTAATTAAATGTTCGTATCCGTGTATTTATTGTGTGCGTGTGACATCGATGTCTTCGTTTTTGTAACCCTGACGATGCCGTATTTACGGCGAAACATGTAGGTTTCTAACCTCAATCATCATTTGGACTACTTGACGAGGTATTGTACCATTATTATAGTGACATCTTGTGTTTTCATTAGAAATTGGGTCAATCATATTTTTAAAAACCCTGCACCGTCGGCAAATAACATAAATTTGTCTTATGATGACATTTTGTACTCGACTGAGTAAGGCGTTGTCACTCAGAAAAAAAATTTTGGACAGCTTTAGTTTGGCCATTTTAAAACTTAATGCACTATTTTCGGACAAAAACATCATGTATTACGTTGTTGTTTTACACTTTACACACTAGACGATAAATTTCTTTAGGTCTTTTGTTAGGCCAACAAAACCTGTATTGCTCACTGCACTACACAACTAGCGGGATTTTAAATTGCAAAACCCTTTTTTGACTTGAATATTGCAACAGCAGGCAGCACAATGACCAGTCCACAGTAACAGCTGGTCACTAACTAAGGAGATGAACACATTTTAACCTTAAGTAATGGGTAAAATGGTTTGAGGTTAGAGCCTACTATCATAGGATGTGAGGGAAGGATATAAAAAACTGTACTGTTAAGTATTGAATTATCTCAACAAACACTTGTGTTCTTTAACATGAATACAGCTCAACCTAGGAGTCAAGTTTGGAACAAACTACACTTGGGCTTTGTTTGACTGTTAGGTCTGGTCAATGGCCGAGACGTGTAAGGCGACCAGGAGACCAAGGGTTCAGATCACATATCGTAAGGTCTTGTAAGCCACCTGCCAAATCAGGTATTTCATTACTGTTTACCCATCCTTGCTGTGGATGTACCTCTTAAGATGTTGTCAAGTTTAGAACTGAAACACAGGTAAAATGAAACTACCGAGTGTGTTGTCATACATTACAGTTATGTATTTTGTACAAAAATCAGTTATAAAATTAACATTTTCATAATATAGCTTAGTGTAATGACTAAGGTGCATAATATATATATATTTATATTTATAAATACATATAAGTATATATATATTTATATAGTACGAATATATAAATATATGTATTTATACGAATGTTTTTTACATAAAACGTCTACAATAGAATTTAATATTCTACGATATCTGGACACAGATACCATGGGAGGGGATCACACTGGATGTGGCTCTAACCGTATTTACAGGACAGTATGGTAGAGCCCCTGGCGTGGTAAATAATTAGACCATACTGATATGTCTCACCTCCGAGTCCGAATATTCTGGGATTTAGTATGGTTCAAAATTTTAATTTTTTATCAACTGATCACGATGTCAGTTTCTAATGAGTTCCCGACTTGACTGTACACTTTGAGAAGGAGATTTTCCTTTAAGTAACGATAAATGAAGTTTTGAATGATTTAAGAGCTATGATACATTATGGAATCCTGTATGAAAAATAATTTGCTTGACGTCAACATGTAAAAGTTTTGATTTCTAAGCTTACAGATGAGAGTCAATAAATTAACACATAAGACAATTGTTTTAATCCCTAACCTCAGTTGATGCATGTGAATAAAAATTACCGGTAGTTTACAAGCTATTGCGTAAAAAAAACACGTTTTCCAAGAATTATAGTGTGAAAAAAGCACTTTTCTTAAAAAAATTTCCCAGAAAAAGTAAGTAAGTTATTGTTTTATTTCTCTTGTTGGGGCAGATTTTTTCTTATGACATTGAGCAAATAATCTCTGTACAATGTTTCTTAATAATAATAAAGTTATACTAATGCTTCCTGATATTGGTAAGGTTTAAAAATTATACTATACATAATTCGCAAAGATATTTCAGAAACATAAGCAATATACATTACATACTATTGAATATTATGTTATGTAAATCAAGTGATTGTATTATTTGGACAAAAATCAGTTTTAAAATACAGAAGTTTAACTTAAACTGTCATTTCAACATGTTGTTTTGATTATTGGCTAGTTATGGATGATCTGTGTGGTAAATTGTTGATTTTTATATACAAAACGAAATTAGCTTAGCTTATTTTATTTAAGAAAAGAGGCTTAAGATGAAAATTCTAAAACCCAACAGAGTATAAAACTATAAAGCACGAAAAACTGAATTCCATGAATTAAATTTATAACCATGGAATGATTTTTGTAAAAGCTGCTGACATATTATATTATGATTATTGATTAGTCTCAATTAGTTACTCCTTGCATCTATAACACGATTATTTAATCAAGTAACACATAATTTACTCAAACTTGGTCATTATAGGGGCAGATAAATTATTATGTAATTATAAATATTGCAAAGGAAGGAGGTATTAATCCATTGAACGAGTTCAGTCTTATTAGAGAATTATTATGTTTAAAACCTAAACTAGTTCAAATTATTTAGTTTTCAAATATTTAGAGAGTAAAACATAATTGTGATAGATGATGAGAATTAACAAGTTGTAACATTTTGTTTTTAAGTAACTTCACACATTTAAAATATTATACATTGACATTGTTCATTCTAGAATTGATTTCAGAATAATAGCTTCATTTTTTATCTTAAACATTGTTAATGGAGTATAGTTATTCTCGATAGTTTTGAATAGAGTATTCAGCTTCAGGACCACTAAAGTGTCCCATGACTATTGAGCAGAAATATTGAGAATAGCCAAAATGTTGACAATAGGAATGATGAAGACAGTATCACATTATTGTATGTTTACATTGCCGAGTTGCGTAAGAAGTTATATAAATTTATGTTTATTTTGAACGTAACACTTTATATCAACTCATTCTTAAGAGCATCGTTACAAATGAATATTTTGTTGCTATAAAATGATAATCTACATGAACCTTTCTAAATAGGATACGTTATAACTAAAATATAAATAAAACTGTCATCTGCCATGAACTAAAACCTACAATTCTTTATAACGTTTGAAACTGAGACAGAAATAACACATTCCACATCATGTATGCTCACAAAAGATTATTTTAAATTTTACTTAGTATAGAATAAATAAAAAGTACTATTCTTGGTCAAAGTGGTAAAAGATAACTCAATAAATGAAAATCACAGGCAATTGAGTAGAGTTTTTGTTATTTCTATTAACAAACATACACCTCCGATGAGCTCTCAGAGCATTAGTGTAAACAATATGACATGCATATTCTCACAGTTGGAAACCAATAAATATATATTTAACAATAATCAATCCATAAAAAACTTCACATTATTGATCTAACATTATAACATACTACTACATTCAGGGACACCGTTGTACAGATTTTGAAACTAAAATCAACTCTCGTTGACACGTCTTAAAATAAAAGTACTTCTCGATAAAAAAAAAAAATCACAAACAGGCCTTAAAATACAGAAATTTACATATACAGTGGACAGTGATCATCTATTAGAATATTTATGTAATATACACATTCTGACTATTGTGCAATGTAATACGTTACACCAGGTAAATTAACTGTGATACACCCTCATGAAGATACAATCATACACTTTCTTATAATACATCGGATATCACATTTTCCAATAAAACAATCAATATAGTCTACAAAGTCCATCAGCAACAATACATTTAATTACAGTTCATTGACGGATTTTTTAATACAGTAATATATTGGCTAAATCATGATTGTATAACACAGATAAAAACTTACGTCTGTTTTTAACAACGTAATATCATAAGAAAAATAAAAAATAAAAATGTCATTGAAATTTGAGAATATTATCAAAAAGTAACCCTGATAAATCAAGTTTGGAACAAAATTATGGCAAATTAAATACAATTAAAAATTATTTATGCAACTAAACAGGCTATGGTTAGGTTATTTCTATGTGACATAAACTGCTGGACAAATCGGACACTTACATAATTCTTAGCCTAAAAAGTTTCAGTTGGACAATGAACTTACGTCTGACATTTTCTTCATGACAGAATAATCCGCTTGACAATAAGTTACTCCATCGGGTTCTATGTCACACATTTACGGTCAAATATTTTATGCTATAGTTAAATATAACTACTCATATTATGTACATTTGTTGAAGTCTTTCATTGTAATAGTTACTTGATGCAGAATATGGCACAAAAATACAGTTGGCTGGTAGACACACAATTGAATTTTTCATAATTTTTAAATCTTTGAAAGACAATTGAAGGAAAATTTTATAATTTAGACAAAAAGTGACATATGCATAACGTTTGCTTCCCTCTATATTTTAATCAAGTTGATAATCTGTGGGGGCTAGTTATGTTGGCATATATTAAAGTTATTTAAAATATAAATGACTTTTGACACCGTCAGAATCTGCTAATATCTTATATATATAATTCCTCGCATCAGCATTCATTTTACCACCTTAACCAAAACACTACTTCAACGATGGATAGTTATTATTATTAAAGATATTTGATGATAGATGTATGACATAGAACCACGGTACGGTAAAACTGACCTTACCGATTATCGCCCAAGCAATGTTGAAAAGATAGGTTGTGAAACGAATGAAAAGCACAATGAGGACCACTCATTAACACTAAGGTGCAACAAAGATGGAATGAATAATGGCACTGCAATGAGAAGTAAGGGGAGCTAGGCTATAGACTGTATGGCACAGGCCTGGGGCACACAGCTCCGTCACCCAAACACTCACAAGACTTGGTGAGTTGTATAACAATTATGTAATGGTCAACAACCAATATGAGAAGTAAAAAGATAAAAGGCGACTAACATTATATGAATGCAACATCAAATGAACCTGGGAGGTATTTTATAGGAGTAAAAGAACTAAGATACTGACAAATGTATGATGGAAAAACTGAGACAATAGCTAGGAAGAATTTTTAGGATGGTGTCAAATAATTTTGTTCCAATCATCTGATAATCGTAGAAAACAGAAAAATATTTTTCTCTCAGGATAATATAGGTGACAGAGCTTTGTGCCTTGAGTTGGATTATTTGAAAACTGCTGTGTTGCCTTGACAATGTTGCCGTGTTGAGCCGAATCTTGACAGAGTCAACATTTTAAGGCACAAATCTTAGTAAAGATAGTGGCACGAGCTTTTAAGCACCATTGAGACCGCTGTGCATACGCCGATTGCCCATCTCTAAAGAAATACATAATTCAGGATCCGACTGTAAAGTTTCACCAACTGAATTTTAATTTTATAACACCCGAATTACGGATCGTGGTAGGCAACGAGTGGTTATTGAAATTACACAAAACGCCCGACACGAGCAAAAGCCTCCCAAACTGACATATTCTGTACAAACGTCGACTGAGAAATGAAACTCTACTTCTGCGAGAACGTTTCAGATAGATTTTCAGAACACAAGGATCAAATATCACTTATTCGGCACAAATATTTCCGTTAAACTCGCTACACGCATTCACTACAATAATCTCTGTACAAAATACGTTCTATAATACAGGACGTCTCACAGCTTGACGCGAGCATTTCTCCTACTTACACCGACACATCTTCTACAAAATTTACAATATAAAATAAAATTTGTATACAAATTTTCACGATTTTCGTTAGTAATTACAAACCGGTCCGAATAGGGACTTACAAATAAGGCGAAATAACAAAACGTTCCTAAGTAATCGCTTAAATAGAGTAAATAAATAATATATATGTACAATAAATTATAGTTAATCGCGCCGTTTGTCGAATACGGCCCGTTAAATAAGAAACGAGAGTATCTACAGGAGTGAAGGCAAGACGCTGGATCAGTCTTGAATGGAAATGCTGCCCGAAAAGCTGTATCAGTACGTCAAACGATCTACACTACGAGCTCCAGAGAAAAGGTATAAGTACGGAGTAGGGCGAGGGCCCTATCGGCCGACTAGACAGCAAACAATGACTGAGACGCAGAGCCAAAGCGTGGGGCTGAGACTGTAGCCTCTGTTGTAGGTCAACTCTTCGTTCTTGACCACTTCGTTTGGATGTTTGTCGTACTCACCTGCAGAAATGACAAAAGTATTATACTCTGACAAAATTAATGATATATCATAAAATATAAGGGTTCTGCTGTGGTTGAAAATATTCCATTTTGTAACAAATATGTCTTAAGAGTCTGGGATTATGGTGGTTACTTAAGGTAACTGGTTGATACTAGACATTGTCTTGTAATACCAAAGTGACTAAAAGTTTTGACATCTGTAATGCTTTAGCTTTAACGAAACAGTCAACGTAACGTTAAACAAACTTATAAGAGTTATGTAACACAGTAGATTTTCACTCCCTTGGGATAAAAGGTTTTTTTAGAACATAGTATTACCTGAGGTGGACTCATATTTTACTGAATTATTATATTATCAATCAGCTGTAAACTCTCAGCCAGTCATAGTTTTGGCAAAAGCATCTATGTGGGAGAATATAGTTTTAGTTAAGGGTGCGCTCTACCTGTCCGCCGCACGCTAATACAAGGTTTTAGGATCTCCTGTCATTGTCGGCTTAGTTATTAACCGATTGATATTAAATTTATATTCATTTATTCATTTCTTATTTTTGTAGGCTTGTATTGTTTTAATTTTTTAGTAATAGTATAATTTAAGTGGGAAGTGACTGGAAGTGGGATTTTAAATACTTTTAAATAAGTTTTTTTCTAAAGCATTTCACACATACATTTGTATGTGCAAGTTTGTACATGCAATGTTTGTGGTTTGTGCATGTTGTTGTTTGAACAGTTGTGTGAATTTTTAGAATAAAATTAAAACAATAGAGTCATAAATTTGAGTCTAAAGAATAAGGAACCTTCTTAAGATGAAAACTTTTTTAAGTTAACTGAGTAATTTGAGGGGACTTAAACGTCTGCAAGCGCTTCTCACGGCGCTGATCAATGGCGCAACATAGCTACTGAAGCCCAGCTAAGAGTTCTGAGCTGAGGTAGAGCGCACCCTTAAATTATATATTACAAAAATATTTGACAACTGGGAATAGTTGGTGAAGGTAGATGAAGATTCCAGGACCAAAACGGAACTCCCATGTTCCTACTTACACAATAAGCCACAGTAAATTGTACCAAGCAAGGTAGTTGGATCAGTGTATTATCTTATCACCATTGGCTTTCCCATGTGAATTGTCTCGTAAGAGAACTTTTATGTCTTTATAGCACTCAAAGAGAAGTAAGAAATACAGGATACATTCAATGGTGCACTTAAGTGGTGTCTAGCACCGAGTCGCTGGTGTCTAGAGCAACTTCTATTCGTCATCTCCTTCCGCTCTCCTTTCCCCCCTCCCCATCACGTACTACAGCGTGCAACGCTATTGGAAGACCCTGTGCGCTTTTGATGTACAACAATGCTATGTGGCCATCGCCGTTCAGGCTCTTCATTGCTTGGTACAGGTACATTTCCGCCCCAACATACCAGAGCTAAAAGCACACGGTTGTCCCATAAGCTTGTATCCTCTGTATCTTACTTCTCTGTGAAGCACCGAAAATATTAATAGCCTAAGATGAAAAACAGTTGACATTTGAAAAAAATTCAAGGGAGTTAGGTTTTTACTGGATACATGATTCACTTGGATCCCTGTTAGCTTGTCAAATTCAAGGAATTAATTAGGATTGAAGGGAATCCTCTTGGAAAATCTCGAACCTAGAACCAAAAGCACAATACATCTTCTCACAAAGCATGTCTTGCCCTGCGTTCAATGGGTGTCTGTATATACATGACAGGACAATATTTTGTAATATAGGAGCAATATTTTGTATTTAGGAGGATACTTTGTAATTACTCACTTGACTTCTTGGTAGTTGGCTTTGGACTATCATAGTTGATGGTGGGCGGCCTAGGAGCGAAGGTAGGGTGTGGTACCGGCGCAGTAGGCCTGTGAGACGGCATGTGGCTCACCGGTGTTGAAGTGCTTACACTGGTCACTGCGGTGGTAGTGGCCGCATGACTAACTGCTAAAACATGACATAACGTTATACATAAACAAATGCCAAGTACACAGTATAACATCACTAACTCGACACCGATAACTCAACAGTCAACCGCTGATAGGGTGCACGGGGACAAAAAAAAAAATTCCAGAATTCTTAGTTTTGAATGTTGAATATTCGACTTGAGTTCAAAGGCTTGAGTAAAAAGCGATGGTTTGATGCACTTCATGCTCGTCCTTCCAATCTAACATGCTGTGTTTTAAAATGGTGAGTTAAAATTCACTACAGCAGCTGACTTTTATTATGAAATTTTCAAAAACCATAAATACTTTGGGTCATTATTGTACACTCATCACTATCAGTAATTTTTACTTTTGCTGGTAGTTAAAACAAAATATTTTATGGCTATTTAGTGTAGGTAAATCTTCTATTACAATTCCCAATTGGGGAAAACCATGTTTTTTTGTTTTTATAACTGGACATAGATAACTGACAACCATTTATTCTGGGCTTCCTGGACAGAAGCTCATGCTCTTTAACTGATGGACCAAATGTATAAAACAGTGCTTCTGAGCAAATATACATAAAAAGTTAATTTAGAAATATTTTCACCACTTTAAGGAACACAGGACACAAGCAAAGGTATTTCCAGTAGTTTCCTACAGTCAGTGATCCATATTATGAATTTTAGTCCAAACAGTGAAATATACACAAAATCATTAAGAGTCTTCCTTAGTGGTAGCCATGTTGGATTTCTTCCCCATAAGAACAATGTTAAACATTACATCATTTGTGGACACGTAACGGCGTTATTTGTTAAGATATAGCTTTGAAATTTATAATTTGTATTTTTAACATAATAGACTCGTGACTGAGGTTTTTGAATTTCGAAAATCCATTTTCATTTCCTTTCAATAATTAGCTTAATTTTAAGCTAATTAATAATCAATTTTTCATTATAAAAATTAAAAATTGTGAAATAAAAAACGTCAATCTCTAGAGGACCGCAATTCCTTAAATTTAACTCCTTATCCATAATTATATGACAATTTGCTGATGAGATATTTGGACCCAAAGTTAACATTGTTCTTATGGGGAAGAAATCCAACATGGCTTCCACTAAGGAAGACTCTTAAGACCGGACTTCTTTGCAATCTTCAAAAAAATCATAAATTTGCAAATAAATGAGTTTAGTAGTTGTCAGAACCCCTTCTGCTCATTCAACTTGAAACTGATAAAAAGTTAATTTAAATATTGTGGACCATGAAAATACAACATTTTAACTAGTTTTTAGAGGGGCATGTCTGCATTAGTTTTGAAAACATGATGAAGAAACAATATTATTTTAACCCCTTTTAGTTTTCGTTTGGTTAGAGAGGTTGACATGAGTTGTGTGATCGTGATGTACTGAAAAGATGCTTGCTAATAAATTAACTTTGATTTTTGAAATTCAAATAATTAATGTAATTTCTGCAGCAATACTCACTCTGGTTGTTGTGCATCTCGTCTGGTCGGCAGCACACTTTGAACACAACCTTCATGTTGTTTGTGGAGCACCGACCCCCGATGCGGCGATGTAGATCATCTTTTGATGAAGTTGCTGGAAACACAGTCTACATTTGAAATGGTACTAGAGAGAAAGATTTAGCTCAAACTCTTGTCTAACTTGGAAGTAAATCTTTTGTCGAAGAACATTATAAACTGTAATAAACTGATGACTTGTGGTAACTGAATTGAATCTGAACTGAATTTTCAATTTTTATGATTTATATGATAAGGCTTAGGATAAGAATATAAGCACTTTAATTACGACCCAGTAAGTTGTCCTCAGTTATACTACTATTAATGATATTTACTTTGCATTATCAACTGTTATAGCTTGTGCTAGGTGTTTGTTTTTGATTTTAGTCAACTTGAATAAATCAAGGATAGTGAACTGGCGAGAGCCATCAGAAAGACAGCAATCATAAATACAACTAATACAAATCAAAATTAAGGGTGAGAATCAATGATAGAATTTTAATGTTACTTGCACTACTTCTTGTTATGTACAGAGTATATTTCAAGTGCGATGGGACGAAAGTCTGTTTTACAATGTGTGGACACACGTTTTGAGGACGAAGCACATTCATGGATAAAGTAATGCAACATACATAGACAGTGGGTTAGGTATGAATTATTTATACATATACCTAGTCAATCCCCAGCATACCAAAGCCAACTCTTTCCTTTCTTTAGCATTTCCTTTATTACAAAACTTGCTACTTTAAATGTGTTATTTATATATTTTTTTGATGAACAGAGATCATTAAACTAGAGTTTTCATAAGGAAACTCCTTTTTAAACAGAGTGAAGCAAAAACATGAAATCATACAGATGTTTAATCTCAAACCACAAAAAATTAAATGTTATCCAATCAAAAAACTTCCATGGCAAAATTGTTTTTAACAAAATAGTTTTAATTTTACCCAGCAAACACAGTGAACATTCCTGCTACTTTGCTTAACACATTTCCATTAAGGTCAAGTTTATCGCTTGAGGTTTGAACAAGGAATTTTCTACTTCTAACAAATCTCGTTTGTGACTTAGGTCAGGGTAGTTATTTTTAAGAAACAACCACGATACAACGTATTTTATGCTAACTGACGACAGCACGGACGACGCATCGTTGTCTTGGAATTCCATACTTGCCTGGAATCCTCTGGAGGGGGTGATAGTGACATCCGGACAGGACAAAAATATACTGAGTTTATTGTAGGATTACAAGATCAAACGTGTCCCGTACGCTCAGGAATCTTTGAGAGGTTGTATCAAGAGTATAATGTGTTTACGTAATAGGACTAAAACTACATTCATATGACATACAACAAGTCACAAGTAAAGAGGTACAGCACTCATGTTGGGAATCAGAATCTAGATATAGTTAATAAACTAACTAACAAGTTGTACATATTAGTTATGTATATTAATCGGTCACATTAATAAACCACATGTTAATAGAAATTACTTAGGTACATGTTTTAGAGAAGCTAGAAAGAAACAAGAATTCCATAAAAATATCACCAAGACAATAACTTGTTCTTAAATAATCAGTTGCTTATTGAATAATTTGGGTTGTAAACCGCACTGCTTTGTACACAATTTAAAAACTCTACCATTTAACAGAAATTTTAATAATTTGTAGTACTTTATACTTTACAATACATACTTTTCCTTGTTTGGACTAAGTATTTAGTTTCATTAATTGGTACTTTGTTTAGTGAATCATCTTTGAGTAAATAATGTTTAGATTTTGAGGTTAACGTTTGGACCAGATGGGGTGTGGGCTGTTTTCATAGGAAAACCTTATTGCCATTATAGTTGAGAGTGGACACGGGTCTTTTGAGACCTACAGGAAAGCTTTTTGCTAATAGAAACCACACTGACTTCAAATACTGGTTTGATCATCTTGTTGGTTAATATTAGGTAGACAAATTAGAAATATAGGTCATTGTAGGAATACTTCCAAATAATTAACCACAGAAAATATTAATAACACATAAAAAAAGAAGTTTTATAAGTTTAACTTTAATGCAAAAATAAATGCTTTGATATTTAAATCACGTTGATACAAAATTTTGTTGAATTTCACCAAAAACTATATATCCTTAGGATGGATTTTTAGAATTAAAATACAAGACACAAAATGAGTCAAACTACAAGGTGAAAATATTCAAATAAAAAATACTGTACCTACCTTTTAATGTAAAATTATATCTGGACACTAAACAATAAAAATAATTGCAGTTGGTTGAATATTACAGTTATATTGTTGAATGACAGTTCAATCAGTTTTCCAATAAATTCCAATCCACAATGCATTGACGATGATAAAACACAAGCTTTAAGTGAGATTTTAGAGTCTAAATTATACCAGTGCATCAGTAAATGGACCCAAAACTCAAAACCCGTTAAAGATCGAACTTGCTGTGCCTTGGGAGTTGAACTTCTGAAGAGTCGGTATTCAGTGATTCAGTGAAAGCTTTTGAAGAGCCTTATTTCATTCTCTGATTCATGCACTCTTAGCTTGTATTTGATAAATGTGGGTTTTAAAACCGAGTAGTCAGTAGTGCGCTTAAAAGAGCGGCAATGTAAGCAGAATATTAGCTCAGTTTTAACACTCCTAAATAATTATGTTTTATCATAGTGAGCTACTGGCCTTTGGAATAAGATTTAACCTGGATAAGGTTTACTCTCTATAATTAATTTAAATAGAATGACAATATAATCATTATACTTAACCTTAAACTATGTAAATATTTGAAAAATTTGATTTAAAAAGTATAGTTTCATGAATATTTAATTTTATCCTCTAAATCTTCAGAAAAAATAACACCATCCAAAAAATCACTACTTTCTAACTAGAAAGTTTGTTTAGTTTTCAATATTGGTTCTTGTTGTTTGTAAACATTGCTGTTTTCAACCATACAGTTGGGATAAAAGTGAGATTTCACAATTTATTTGTGGATTTAAGAAAAATTACATGTCCGATTTTCTGTCTTCTTATGTCCAAAGCTTTGTAACCAATCTAGCAAATAAGACTGCAAACGCCAGTTGAGCCTACTCAGACTACTCAGTGGTATTATATGGAGCAAGAGGGCAACAAAATGTCTGTCATAGCCCCACTAACATGCAGGGAGTCCCAGAACTTTTTACCAACCTTGGAGTCCCAGAACTCTTTACCAACCTTTTAGGTATCATCATAGATTAAAAGGAGTGTAGGGGTCCCGGCCACTGGTCTTAAATTCAGGGACCATATTTATATAATCTAACCTAACCAAATTGCTATATCCGTATTAGGGCCAGAGGTGGCCGATTCTCCGTTTCCCGATTAAAAGAGTAGACACTTTTAATCTATGTTATCAGTCATGGGCCAAATACAAACTATAATATCATGCTAAGAATTTCCAAAACTTAAAACTTATACATATGCCATTTACTCTTTTTCACAAAACTATTTTTTATTTGTAAACAGATTTTTTTGTAATTTGATATTCGGTATATAGATTGGTAATGTAAAGACTTATTTTGAGAGGGGAAAAACATCCAGGAATGAAATCTTAAAAGGTAGAGTTCGGGACACCATGTATAACCAAACCTAGCCTTGCTTCTTAAACCTGAGTAGGTGGTCATTCTCTGAACTTTTCTTCTATTTGACAATGGCTACTTACAGATGAAATAGTAGTCTTGTCCTGGTTGGAACTCTAGTCCCCCAGGCTGAGGTGTGAAGGATCGGAAGGTGATGGTAAAGTACATTAGCTTGTACGGTTTGTCACAGATCGCGATGATCCGTGGGTTAGGGTTTGTAATGCGACACGTGTCGTACTCTTCCTTGGACACCTGGAAACATCGTAAATCTTAAGAATCAGACTTAAAATGTAATGTCACTTTAGCAAATCATTGTCACTGTTGTGGTGGCTATAACATTAGACACCTGTAAAGGATAATGCTATCAGTCAGTGCGGTGTTTTAATTGTTTAAATAGATCAAGGCATTGGATCAATATGATAAAAGTTTGATAAATTTCACAGGAATGGAAGAAGACCTTATGTATTGGGTGTGGCCTGCGATGAGAGTACAGTAATAAATGAAATTATGAAAACACAATGAAATTGTAATATATTAAGCCAGTGATTATATTAAAACGTGAATATTGTTTCCGGAAACTGTCTTAAATGTTAGATCAAATTACTATGTTAAGAAAGTACCATTCTTTCGTAGGATGATTATTTTTTACTATCGTATACGTTAATGAAATAAATTCTGCGAGTATTTTGGGTCTCCAAAGACACATATAATAACTTGCAAGTCGTTGTTAAAAAATATTGTCATGCACTCTTTTAAGTTTTCTGAATCATTGCTAAATATAATACATGAAAAAACCTATTCGTCTATTGGGTCTGATGATGATTGGAGTGTCCAATTGAAATCGATCACCACTTACCAACTTTTATATGTATTTACCGTCTTGTAAGTCAACAGTATAAGTGTAAATATATTATTACAAGTGTTATTAGAGGTATATATTTTTGCTTTTTTTCAGGTCATTTAATAACACGTATGATGCTGATCAAGAAGTTATTCTCTAAATATAATACCAAATGAATACCTAAAAATGTAGTACAAATTATTGTAAGTTAATACTCATTCTTTTTAGTAAATTAACTCAGATGAAAAAATGTACAATACCATACAAAAATCATAATTTTTTATCCGCAAAAATGTGAATACAATCTTTGTTACTATTGGTTTTACATATGAGATAATGAAACATGAAAAAACCTCTTTTTCGTTGACCTTTCATGACATGTTTGTGAACAATTCCAAAACCAAAATGAGAAAGCAGTCATATAGCATTATGTGATTTTTTGGAAATGGTCTAAATACCAGCTTATGGTAAACCATATTGCCAGCAACTAGTTTTGGCACAAAAGTGATGTAATTTGTGGATTACTCTAAGAAGGTATTCATACAATTTCTAATATTTATTGACAATACCCGTAATGCAATGTAAATTAAGTGAAACACATTTATTTATCCCCTACCATACACATAATGAGTAAACAAAGAACAATGTGTTAATTAATACACATTTTTTAGGTTAATAAGGTGTCATGCTTATAGGATAGGTTTACATCGCCAGGCACCTGGAAAAGTTCTTAATGTGAAAGTAAGAGTCCAGTCTATAAGCAGAGTGGATTACCGCCAGGGTCCCGCATATATATGTCTGATTTTATAATATTTTAACAATACCAATAATACTTTTGGATGTTTTGCACATCAAAATACAGAAATATAAAATTCGTACAACACATGAAGACGATTTGGGATCACAAATTTCAGTTTCAGATTGAAAGAGCAACCACGTTCTGCTTCTTGTTTGGACCAAAAACAAAATCCGAAACCAACCGGGAGGCAGTGACAACATAATAACTCTTCCACCCTCTTTTTACGTTAATTCAAAGGTTAAGAGACTAAAGATAAAAATTAATTCCAACACTCCCAGCAGTTTCTGACGGATGCGGGCAGGCTGATGACCTTTATTTTATTGTTTTTAAAGTGAAATATTGGAATATGTTTCCCCTCAACTTAAGGCAGATCGTCAAGAGAAAAAAGCAATCATTAAAAATTAACATTTCCTTTTCCATTTTCCTTCACCAGTATCATATTTTTTGTTTACGAAAAAAGAAAATGTGTTATCTTTGTGTAAACGGTGTACAAAGGCAATAAAATGTATGGTACATATGATTTGCTAGACAACAGCTTATCATGCCTATTTACACAGCCTGTACATTTCCGATGTGTATTTTTGAACACAAGCAATGTCTAAGACGAGGCAGGTACGTCACTACACTGTGTCCATTTACCCTACTCACGACGTGACTCCCCCCGAGGCCTGGGGACACGCCCATGTTATCATCTTCTCCAAACTTCACAAAGTCCAACGTGCGATACTGCAAACTGCCCCATCAGTCTTAACTCCATCCTCTCGAAACTCTCCAAGTCCTCCCAACGGGATCTGACCGCCCAAAGTCACTCGGCCTCCTCTATACACAATCTTCCGTGTTGAAACTCCTCAATCTCCACCTCACCGCCTAGGAACCCAATCATATAGTACCTTCTCCAACCTATTCACCCTCCACACAGGTGTCCTTCATGGCGCCATCAGCCTCTGCCTGACCCTGAAGAAGACCTGAACCTACCTAGGAGTTAAACTCGACTCAAAACCGTACTTTGTCCCCTTGCGTAATGCTCCGACAACACTTAAAACCCCCGTTTGACCAACCGTACGAACTAACCTATTAAATGACCCCAACCCATACCCCTACACCGACAACCACAGTGAACCCTTACTGATCGCCTACCCTCGCTAGTAGATGCGACAGGTACCTCTGCCTAGTAGCACACACCACTTGCCCAGCCCTATTGGAGGGAGCGTTTCACGAACTCCAAATTTCACCAAATCCAATAGTAAAATATAAACTATTGGTAGTAGCTATCAACCTCACCCCCATTGGACAGTCATCATCGCTACTAAAACGTCACGGCCACGTCACGACGTCAAATATTATTTTGATACTCAAGGAGAAATTGTAAGACGTGATCAGACATGCAAAATGTTCAACTAGCACCTACAATTATCTTGGCCTATCGCACGAAGTCGTTGTTAGAGGAAAACAATGCGATAAAATTAATGTAAAGGGAAGTAAAAATAGGCAAATGCGCGGTAAGTGAGGTAGGCCATAAAAGTGAAACGGGCTGGGGGTACGGCTCGGCAAGGTGGGGCTGTATGTGATGTATTCAAACCCCTATCGTAACACTGTACTTTTACGACCCCCCAACTAATTACATTGATGACGAATAAGTACCATTCTTTCGCGGGGTAATTTGGTTTTACGTCCGTGTAGGTCGAAGAAATAAAACCCGGGGTATTTTGGTTCTTCAAACGCTCTGCTTGTTTTTAAACCTCGTAACTATGTTTGCTGTTGTTTCGTGTTGTAGAACAGACAGAAGACGATTAGCTGAAAGTAATTCGTGATTTCGTGATCTTAGTTTTCAAACATATTTGGATTTTTAACGATTTTTTATGACTATATATGGTAAGATTTTTATAAAAACAGTTTCTCTTCAAACTTCTCTCACTGCCCATAGACAATCATAGAACTACAATGATTCATCTTACAAATAATCATATAAAATTACAAATATTTGTATACCTTACCTTGTATACCTTGTAATGCGTTCCCAAAAGATCTTATTACGCTTATGAGCAATTCTACCAAATTTAGTTTAAAATTGCCAACTAAAATATGACGATCGGTAATAAGAGTTGAGTGATTTATACACATATTATATATTTGAACTATCCAAAAATGATCATCGACAAATGATTACTGGAACAAAACGTAATTAATCCAAAGCATTAATCAAAACAGTGGCCAGGTGATGATGACTTGGGCGTCATTCCCAAATATTGATTGTTTGGCTCTTATTTAGCAGCTAAGTCACCCAGTAAAATATATGTTGGAATAACAATCATTAGAAATCCAGGGATTCAAAGGAAAAAGTTAACTATTATTATAAAAACTACTTACAAGTTTGATATGACATGAAGTTAACATTTTACGAATAAGTACGAATTTTTATACGGTTTCCAAAATTTTCGTTGATGAAAGATAAATTAGTAAACGATTTTCAAGCCTTTAAATCCACAAATCGAACACAATCTTACCATAGGAACAAATTTCCTGGCGAACTTTAGATGGAAACTAATTTACTGAACTAGTATGGATAGTCACGAAGTATTGACGTAGCGTTGTTCGCCGGACCTAAACCGATGGTTTTAAAATTTAATTAGTCGAAAGACAAGCAAAGACTTGCGACCGCACGCAAGTCTTTATCGTCACGAGATCGAACGGAACATGGGAATACTGAGATCAGATTAAACACAAGTAGGTTAATACGACAAATTCACTATTTATGCATGTTGTAGCTTAACATGTTCAGCAACTGAACATGGGAATACTGAGATCAGATTGAACACAAGTTGGTTAATACGACAAATTCACTATTTATGCATGTTGTAGCTTAACATGTTCAGCAACTGAACATGGGAATACTGAGATCAGATTGAACACAAGTTGGTTAAAACGACAAATTCACTATTTATGCATGTTGTAGCTTAACATGTTCAGCAACTGAACATATGAATACTGAGATCAGATTAAACACAAGTAGCCTAGGTTAATACGAGAAATTCACTACTTGTGCATGTTTCAACTGAACATAGGAATACTGAGATCAGATTAAACACAAGTTGGTTCGTACGATAAATTCACTACTTGTGCATGTTGTAGCTTAACACGTTAAGCAACTCTGATAAAACTTTGATATCGAGTAATTTCGTGAACCTAGGCAGTGATGTTCAAAAATGCTTTAATGAAATTACCTAGAATGTAAGTTATGGGAAAACATGTTGTTAACTGGATTACCTTATTGGTATGTTTTATGTACGATTTTTCATTTTTTTTTCAACTAATACTTGTTTACCCTTCAAGCTCAAAATGAAATTTTCTATACAATTTTTTGTTAATGGGAGCCTCATGTGTTTTCATAATCTGAAGTACTTTTACAAAGTTCTTCAAGTAAATTTACATTACAAAAAGCAATTTTCGACAGCTATTCCATCAGAGTATTGGTAGGTAGTCGCTCCTTTGGAATGAAGTGAATATAATCTGGGTTTGCATTTTTGTGGTAGTGGCTCTTAGAAATATCTCACCAAACTCTATTAAGCTTAATTTTACATTACTTTTACAAACAGAACAAATTTGTTTTATAGT